TAGGAAGTAGGAGCCGTAATAGGGTATAGTAAGGTAAAGATTAACTCCTCTATTCCGAAAGAAGTCCACGAGATAATTCGTCGTAGAAGAGATACTAACTTCTATATCCTAAAAGCTAAAAATACGATTCTATAAAACTAGTAAAAAGACCTCTCTAATAATAATAGCTAGTTACTCTAATCCGCCCTCGGATAGCTCTAGTAAACATAGAACTTTATAGAAAAGCTAGTAGCGCTCTTATAAATGCGGACATGGGCGAGAGCGAGGAACTAGTTAAACGTATCTCTATAGTCCCGAATCGGCTAGGGATAGAAGGGAAAGAGAATTAAGGTATATCTTTAGAGCTCTAATATCGATACCGCCCTAGCCAGCGATAGTAACGAGGATGGTCTATCTCTCTAGTAACTCTTAAACTACCCTAGCCGATAAAATAAACTAACGTTCTATAATAAGACGGGACTTATTATCCCCGCTAGTTAATAGTTATAGATAAGTAGAATAGTTTATAGGCCCGTCGAATACTACCTATAAATCAAAGAGATAAGTATATCGCCTCCGCCTTAGACCTTACCGTCGCTAAAACTAGCGTAGATAACGTCTATAGTAAAGTCCCCTCCACGAAGCACGCCTTCTAGTTTAGTAGTATGTCGTCTCTTTAAAGCTAGTTATCTATTTAAAGTAAGTATTCCTCCTACTACTACTAGTATACGTCCCTTACTAGGCCATGCGAGAATCTCTTTAGTATCTATTATAGCCACGCTAATAAAACCCACTCGCGGACGTACCTTATCTACCGGCCCTTAGTAATTACTAGGGGCGCCTACACGATAATCCCCGGTTATTCTTAGTTCGTACCCTAAGATAATAGTATCGGTTAAGGAAGAGGATAAGCCTAAGAAGTATTAATGCGCGCCTTTAGTGACGAAGACTTTTAAGGTAGCTATATTATTAAAGAAGAATTTCACGAGTATTAAGGGAATGGCCCTACTAGCGCGCTAGAAAGCGTAGATAGGTAACATAGCTATTCCGTATAAAGTCTACTATAAGCATTACCAAGACGTGGCTAGAAAGAATAATATACTCGTTAGCGTGTCCTACTTAAACCTAGTAGTAAGACTTAAAATAGTATATAAGTTTAGAGATAATATGGGGGCCCTTAAAGTTTATAAGAACTACTATACCTAGTTCGCGAAGTACGCGCGGCTATCTTATCCGATAGAGGCATTAGATATCTATTATTACTAGGCCCTAGAGACCCCGAAGTAAGTTATTAATATTAAAACCATCCTTACTAGTATTATATTTATAATTTAGAAGGAGGACGGTAGAATAGATAGATAACTCTTCGACGAGTAGGAACGTACTAGAAGTATTAATATTAAAGGGCTCTTCGAGCTACTTAAAAAGACGACCTCTATACTTAATAAGAGTATTCTAGAACTCGCGAGGGATGAATTTAATATATATAAGTACCACTAGCGCATGTTTAATAAGAAATCGAACTACGGCTAGCTACGAACTATATACCACTCCTATATCTAATAGTTTATTAGGTAATACCTACTTTACTAGCTCACCTATATCGCTCTTCGGCCCGATCTTAACTACTATCTAATCTCGTACCCGTACTATACGAAGTCCTAGGATAGGGGTAATAAGACGGGTTTTAAGTATCTCGATAACGCCATTAATTAAATCCTCGATCCTAGTAATAGACACGGGTTTAATATAATCTAGGGGAGTATTAGTCTTAACGACGAACGAAGTAATAACTATACTATAATTATTCCCCGCTCCTATAAGTTCTTAAATAAATAGTAGTTAAAGGCTAAGCTCCGCAAGGGGGTCAATCGAAATGGTATAATTACGGCTATTAATAATAAGATCTATAATACGGACGATAAGAAACGATTTAGTCCCTTCGTCCCGGTCCCCTACTAGTCCCTTAAAATATATATCTCTAGCCTACTAATAATACACGGCGCCTAGGGGCCCGTAAAGGGTGGAAGACGTACGATGCTTCCATAGTATATCGCGATTAGCCCTAATTACATAATAATAGAAGTGCCTAAAATAGGCATATAGGAACAACTTATAGTAGCTCATAGGAATTTAACTCCGGGACCTACGTCTCCGTTAGGATTTTCTAATAAATATAGCGCGATTCCTTTTACCTTTCTAGCCGTAGTTTAACTCCTAAGTTTTAACGCCGTTAGTAACGTATTAGTCGGCCGTAAAAGATAGAATAGCTAGAAGGTAAAAGAAGAGGTAGCTACGTAGCTTAATATAAGTCCTTAATAACTTAAAGCTAAGGTAGACGCCTAGTTTAAGGAGGGCTCGAGGGTATTTATAGAGACCTTTAAGAAAATAGTAAGGTAGGAAAGGCTAGTCTATAGGGATAGGTCGTTCTAGAAGGAATTTAATAAGGCACGCGCCGCTAAGCGGCTAATTAATTTTAAGAAATTTAAGTCTAACGCGGGCCTAGATAATATTAAAGAGAACTTCTATAGATAGAAGAGGCCTAACGAACTATCTAACGAGGAGGAATCTAACCTCTCTAAGATAAGTAATATAATTCTTTAGGAGCTGGCTCGCGACCTCGAGTACTAAGATTAGGCGCCTAAAAACCTACCTAATTATTAGTTAAGGGCTGCCCTTAACTAATAATCTAGGCTAAGGTTTACC